TAACTGGATGTTAGTTATATCTGCCTTTACTACAATACTTTTTAGTAGTTTATATTTGAAGCTACATTGAGCGTTTATGTTCTCTTTTATAAAGGGATTGTATCAATTACTTGAGACTAGAATGTCTGTCCGTTGCAGGAAACAGGATCTTCCCTTAGTAAAGGTAAGGATTTTATGTATATTAGACAAAACAGAAATAAAATAACATTTGACCCCAAAAAATCCTTATAGCTATATTACAAAGGTTACAGAATCCCATATCCTATTGTTTCAAATTTTTTGTTAAAAGAACTAAATGGGGGTGGTCCTGGGGTGATGCCCAGGCTTGATCAAAGCAGCAACACAGATTGTATTGTCCCCATGTGAGGTCCTTGGTGCTCACTGAGCTTGATTATTTTCTTGCAGATGTTTCATTACCCAACTAGGTAATATCATCAGTGCTAGTAAGGAATGGGCTTTGCTCTCAATTTATATTGTATTGTTCTTAGTCTCTTTGTACTTATACTTACATCCATCCACCAATTGTTGCTTATTCTGCTAATAAAAACATACTAATAGGTCCACAGTTCTGGTTCTCTTGATCTCTGTAGATGTAGTGCGTGCTTCTAGCTCCCACTGGGACCTCATCAAGAATGTATGTGCTTTATCTGCAATGTGAACAGCATGTGAAGAACTGAATTATATAATCTTACACTATTAGATCAGTTTTGTCTCTCCCTGGCAATGGCATTCAGAAATGTTTCTTCATCATTAGATGCCTGTGTTGTTTTACTAGAAATATTGAAAAGTGATTCTAAGCCTACAAGGAAAGATACAAAACAGATGTTCTTTTGCTGACCAATAAGTGTTTATTATTCTTATATCCCAATCCTGAAAGACCAATTAATAGTTGCTATCAAATTTTGGAATTTCCATACCAAGAGAAGTCAAGCTAGCTCTTCTGTTGACAGAAATAAATAAAGTTAGCAATTTCTAACTGTTGGAGCTGGGAGCATGTGTGGAGTGTGTGTTGAATTGATGGTAGTATAGCTTTAGTTAAATAAATTGTATACTTTTAGGAACTGGAATAGAATCAAATACTTGTTTACATGTATGTATGAATCCTGTTTCAGAATGCAGTCCAGAAGAGTATTCCGATGTACAAAACTTCCACCAAAAAAGATGCTGATGTTCAAATTGATCAGAACAATTTTCTTCCAGAAGACATGTAAGAAAGATACACAGCTAGGAAAAAGTAACTTAATTTAGTGATGATCATTATTTTAAATAAATAATTTACCTTGCATAAGGTAAATGAACTTGGGATTTTCTCTTATGAAATGTAGTTTAGTGGGAATTTGCACTGTCCTGTACTTGATAGCATGGATTGGGCATATCCAGTGGCCTTGGTTTTTATTTAGACTGGGAAATTAAACCAGCCCTGTAGATAGATTTGTCTTTTCTGGTCTTTATAGATTGAAACAATGATATTTAGACCCTGGGCATCCTATAGTGGTTTGAAGGCTTACTTTTATGCCATTCTCTTTTATTTTGGTTTTAATTCTCTGTGTACCTCCCAGATTCACTACTGTGAGATGGGGAGCTTCATAAATTGTCTTACTCCTATTTATTTAGTTATTTATTTAACAAACTTCTAACCATCATAATCAATGACTAAGAACAGTGGGAATGGTTTCATGTGCCAACATGTTCATTAGCATGTATTTTTCTCTTCTAGAGCTGGAGGTGTTGAAATTTATAACAGTGACGGTAAAATTAAGGTATCTAATACACTGGAAAGTCGTCTGGATCTCATTGCTCAGCAGGTAAGCCTAGAAATGTTTCTCTTGTATGAATGAAATGTTTTCCATTTAACTCTGTGCAATCACTCATTCAGTTCTTGGGTCAGCCCACGGTTTTGCTGTGGGACACCACGGCAACTTGAGTGCTGGGTCTGCAAGTCCATTACTACCCTCAAACAACAACTCTGGCATGAAGAAAAGCTATCTGGGGGCTACTTGATTTACAAACCCTCCTGAGTCTTGGATTTCAACCTTTTCTCTTATGTCAGCTCTTTGCCCAAGACATAGAAATTTCTGGAAAGATTGTGAGATCCGAGGCTCGGCTCAGCTATGATTTCTACCATAAGCATTCTTCAGTATTTAGAAGTAGATCCTATTGCCATCTTTTTATAAGTTGTATGTCTTTTAGTATACTTTTAACTGAATGACTGTCAAGCGTGTTCTAGGAATTTGCTGAGTCAACAAGGAATACTTGGAACTTTTTTTTCCTTTTTTTTTCCCCCTCAACAGATGATGCCAGAGATCCGGACAGCACTTTTTGGTGCTAACAGTAACAGGAAGTTCATGGACTAAATTCCCTGGAATGCTGGTGGAATTCTCTTCCGTGATGCGCTGAGGGGAAATGCTGGAGCATTTCCAGTAAAACAATGTCCCTTCCCCTAAAATGTACTACTTGCTCTATTGTGTTATCTGAATATGTTTTTCAGTTAAATTATTAACTTTTGCATACTTGCTGTGCTTAGTCTGAGAGAAAGGCAGGAAGAACTTTTTCCAGAGAGTAGTGGCGCGGCATCCAAAAATGGAGGCATTTGCACTCTTTGATGCAGACCAATGAGAGAAATAATTTGGAGCTCTGTTGTGATTCTCCAGTATTGTCCTTTCCTTCAAAGCACACCCACCAGTATGTGCTGCTTATCTATTTTGTTCCTTTCCAAAGCTTACATTTCATGTGCCGATGACTGCAAACCCCACAACTTCCCCAATCTGGTGCTTCCCAAGCCGGGAAAAAAAGCAAGTCATGTTAACTTGGTTAGTCCCAGAATTTTGTTCTGTATATGTGATTAAAAGTATATATATATATATGTATACACTCTCTCATTGTGTTGAAGTTTATTAAAATGAAAAGCATGCAATATTGTGTTTGATTTTTTTTTATCGTTATAGCAGAGGGCAGAGGGTTACACCCACAGGCAGTTTATGAAAACAAATGCATGGCAGCTATGGTTTGTTAGATATGGAAAGAGAATTGGGGAACCTGAGAATATGGAGTTCCTCTCAGTCAAAAATTTCACACTAATAGGAAGAGGTGTATTTCTGAAGATAAATGTTGATTAATTAGGTGCTTTCTGGAAATTTGAAGAATAATCATATTTTACAAACTAACAAGCTCAAATTAAATGCTGAAATATTAGATAGAAAACAGGTGAGAGATGGATATAGACTAAATACAATGTAATCCTCTTAACTCAAATTAGGATGACGGGGTTCTGCCAGAATCACTAAGAAAACAAGACCAGGTTAAATATCTTGTGCAAACCAGGTCATAATGTAAGCTATAGGAATGGGTTTAAATTTATCAGTCTTAAATAACAGGATTATAACAGGATTATCTCAGTGAATTGGGCAGGTTCATCAATCAATAGACTGGGGCTATTTCTCAAAATTTGCTGTAATTTTTTGGACAGATTTAAGATTGATTGCTGCTCAGATAATAACTCACCGGTTTTCAAGCTACATCCACTGAAGCAAAATTGAACTAAAAGTAGGAGTAAGATCCTTACCCACTGAGGAGTAAGAAAATGCAATGATATGCACTCATAGATAACCAATCAGCTGCAAATAAGCTGACTTATTTTGAGATATTGGTACAGAGTTTCCAAAAGTTATTAAATGAAAATAAGAAAATAAGAAACCATGAATGTGACCAGGAAAAATTTGGTGTGCCTTTTTGAAACCTTTTGAAGTTGAAGGAAAGTTTGATAGTATTGAACTTACTGATACATTCTGATATTTTATACTTTAATAATAAATATCAAAAATTATCTCCCAAACCTTGTGGATATAGGATAATAATTTTCAAGTTATTCAATTAATTGAAATGGATTTAATTTTTGTTTATAGAAAATATTGAATTTTGTAAAGTTTGAGGGGTTACATATTAAAATTCCTTAATTTAACTTTATGAGTCTGATAAAATGAATGTTACTCCACATCTGAAACATATTTTTGAGGGGGATCTTACATTTTTAAAATAGACTGACAGATATAGTGACAGAAATTTTAATGAAGAGAACCCCAGGTTTCCTTTAAAGCATGCTGGCTCAGGAATTCTGGGAGTTGAAGTCCACGAGTCATAAAAGAGCCAAGGTTGACTACCCCTGCTTTAAAGTATGTTTTTCTTATGGAGAAACAGTTTTTAATTTTTCAGGCATTCAGCCTTATCACTGGGCTTATATTTTGATCTATATCTCTCTTCATGGAATTTAAACCATTTTTTAAAGTCTGTTATTTGTATAACTACAAAGTGAATATTAGTCTTCTTTCCTATCCAATCCTTTACAGAGACTGATTTGACCCTAGCTTTAACCCCCAATCAGTTGTCCTTTCTGTTTTAAAGATTGCTTGAGGAGTAAGCTTAACTTTGATCCCAATTCTGGGATAATTCCAGTTTGAAAACTTGAAATAAGCATGTTTTTAAACATTCATAAACAAAAAAAAATGGCATTGATGCTCTGGATCAGCTTATTTTTAATGTCCTTTAAAAAAATTGGCAGCGCTGCAGGAAGAATTTGTGTCTAATATTGGGGAATGACAATCTGTGCAACTAAAACTTCTAACTATACAATTTGGATCAGGCGCAAATAAAAGGTATAAAGTCCATGAATGCAATCATAAAAAGGCATAAAAATATAAACACTTGTTCAAGTCAAATGTGGTTTCTGGTAACCACATAAATATAAACACATAGTTTTTCTCAGCAACAATATTGAAATGGTTTCCCATTGCTTGCTTATAGGATGTTTTTCTAACTTCCAGTCCAGCCTAAAGCTCCTTCCTTTTGGTGGGGAAAGGGATATCATCCACAATTGGCCAGGAACTGATTGGGGGTAGCAATGATGGCTTAGATCAGGGGTGTCAAACTGCTGGCCCATGGGCCGGATACGTCAAGCGGAAGCCGCACCCACCCCAGCTCTGGCAAGGGGGAAAAAGTCACAACACATCACGTGATATGACGAGTTTGACGTCCCTGGCCTATTTGCATCCTTGGAGAAATCTAAGAAAAATACCATAGAGGCAACCTTGTGCTTTTCTGAAAGCAGGTACTATTGTCTCAAGCCTGTAGCGGGCTCCATTTTTTCACAGAGGGTCTAATTTTGGAGGCTGCTTGTGGAGCCCCTTTAAAAATGGAGCCCCTGTAGGTTTGCGACAATAGTGCCTGCTTGCAGAATACTGTAGCACAAGGTTGCCTCGAGACAGCTTCTATAGGAAAGCTGATCCTCGTATCATGTCAGCCGGGCTGCCTCTGCAAAAAAAACAGGTATCTTGGGTACTGCTGGGCCCTGGAGCTGGCTGAGTAGCAGGCAGAGTCCTGCAAGTTCCTTGGGTGGCTGAGTGAAAAGAAGGCCTTGGATTACAAGGCCTCCCAGCCCCTGCGTGTCGGTAGCCATCTTAGGTCCCTTTAGGTGAGTGGCTGGGTGAGAAGCAGGCTAAGGCCTGCAGGGATCCCAAGAAGCAGGAAGCAAAGCATGGGATGCCTCAGGTGGGAGGCTTGGGAAGCCTAAGACAGGTGGGCCTGGGCTCGCATTGGGTCTCCCCCACCCGAGATAGCCCCTGCTCAGCTTAACGACTCACGCATTCATTTAATGGCCACATCAAGGCAAGCAGATTGTGGGAGTTGTTAAGCGAGGGCATCTCACTTAACAGCTGTCACCATTTGCAACTGTACTGGGCAGGCCCCACTGTGGTCGTAACTTGAAAACTACTTGTATTGTGTTGGTTATTACTTCAGTTGTTTTTACAAATACTATAGTTTTCAAATATGCCTTCAGCCAAAGAATTCTCTATCAGATGTAATTAATCCAATGAAGATTTACCCAGAATATGTGTATTTAGAACATCTGTAGTCTAGCTTGCTGAAAGTCATCTGCTGAATAGAAAAAGAAGCAATGGTGAACACTGGGATTGGTATTTCTTCTAGGCCATCTTCCTGGATGGTGGTTTATGATCCACAAAAATGCTCACAAGAAGGTTCTGTTGGTTTTCAAGTGACAGTTTGGAATTTGTGCAAATTTAATCCAGAGTCTCCTTCAATTGCAAGAGGGTGTTATTGGAAAAAGCGCATGATCCATTCTCCAATGCCAATGAAATAGACTCCTTGGGCTATGCCAAAGAGGGGAGCTATCACCAATGCACGACATCCTGCTCCTTTCATAAAAGCGGAAGGACCCTCATGAATCCAGATCTTCCTGTAGGTGATGCACACAATGAGATAATTTCAGTAAACATATCCTGAGTAGCAGCGGTTGCTATCAGTAACAGAAGTGCATCAAACATTAGTGCTTTTCATACTTCAAAAATTATTTAGAAGAGGTATTCTGGAACCTACAGCAGCACACGTGCAGCACTTCTCTTTAAAGCAACTGTATCTGTGAATCTGAAAAAAGTGAATCTGAAAAAAGAGACATCTTTTAAAATGAGTTAACTCATTCAATCAGCCCAGTCTTTTTAAAGGCTCCCATGGAAGTCTGAAAAGTGCAGTAACCACATTGAAAGGATATCGTTGCTTTTGCTCCTATGCATTCTAAAAGTGCCCCAGCATTTTTGCAGAGACAAATTCACGAATTTCTATCACAGTCTTGCTTTTTTGCAGGCAACCCATAAAGGTAACAATTGAAATTTGAGGCATGGAAGATGAAATATCCCTAACAAACAATTAGGGAATGGCATTAGAGTTTTAAGTGCAGCACAGAACTATCTTTGGAAGCATGCCCTCCACCTCCCATCCCCATCTCCCATCCCCAAAATAAATGTAAAGTCAAGTGCAAATTCAAGAACATTTGTATGAATTGTACAGTTTAAAAAAAAAACATACCTTTATCAGTTAACTTTTGGTCAAATGGTATTGAGTGACTGCTCACACCCACTTGCAACCATTTGGTGACTGAGCAAGCAATTCCTCCCCAACAGAACATCCACAGCTTGCTTGCTAAATTCCCAATGTATCCACCAGTCCAGGCTAGTTGGGGTTTCCAGCCTTGGTGTGTGGGGAATATTTTTCAGTGATCAAGTGTTTAATGACATTAGCTAATGGTTCACAGAAAAGGAATATTTAATTCTGTTTACCTGGCACAATCAATGATTCCATTGTAGGTATCTTCTCCCAGTCCTTTCTGCAGAGTTTGGATGCGAGTTTTCAGAACTGTAACAAACAGTTTGTTAAATCTATGCAAAGAAATGTGATTTAAAGATTTACACGTCTTTACGTGTAAATTACTTGTCTTATGAAGATAAGCCTTTTTTTACAGTAGCATCATCTAATACTCACCATCTAATGGTGTTACCGCAACTGCAGCCAGAGATCCCGCCATGCAGCCAGACAGAAACGAATGAAAGAAAGATGCTTTTTCTTCAGAGGTCTTTTGTCCCAATTTGTTAAGGTTGGCAAAGAGTGGAAAATAAATGACGGAAAAAGGGACATCCCTATTGAGAGTAGAAGTAGAATATTTTGGTTAAGCCTTGGAGAGATTTCCCTATTTCTCACTGAAGCAAATTGCTAATTTTACTTCATTAGTAACTCAAGAAATTATGACTAACTTGACATTTATGAAATGTAATTTCCAAGCCACTCATATAGCAATCTTCTCATGTACGTTTTATAGACCAGCTTGAAAATCAGACTTGATGCCATCTGATTTTACCAATACTTTTGAAATACATAAAGATCACCATAAAGTCATGTAGTAATGGGTTATGGAGGACTGAGAGACTACTGAAAATTTTAGGCATTTGGACGTCTTTGCAGAAAAAAGGAAGCATAATAAACTACCCAAATATTCAATTGTGAAAAAAAAGGTCCAAAGCCCATGTAAAACTCTACAGTACCAGAGTAGATGATCCAGTTTCATGTATAAATTTAATTCCCATTATCCAAACCACTTCTCTAATAGCCAGTTGTAGGGACACTGACTCCAATTCTGAAGCCAGTGGAAATGTTTTTAAAAATGTTAAAAGATAATATATACAGTAAAAAATACTGAATCCAGTACTTTTTAGATTCTAGACCATTAGATGTTGCTACTATAGAACTTATAGAAAAGGAGATTCCACTTTTCACCTGAGTAGGGTGGCCCCAAGCCCTTTATATAGGCCTGCTATACCCTGGGAGCGCAGCAGTTCACTTGCAATCCTAGTGGCAGAAGATCGTTTAGGGGCCACTTCAGTTCCAGTGGTGTAAGGCTGTCCTTGTGGCAGATGAGAAGAGGCAGCAGCTGTACCCTCCAACCCTAGAGCCTTCTGCTGATGAGCAGCTGAAAGACAGAAAGACTCTTGTGTGTGTGTGTGTGTGCTTAGATAGATAGATAGATAGATAGATAGATAGATAGATAGATAGATAGATAGATAGATAGATAGATAGATAGATAGATAGATAGATAGATAGATAGATAGATAGAAAACCTTGAGCCCTGAGGGCTAGATTTTTAGAAGTTGTGGGTCTTATACAAGCAGATCTTCAACACTTCATAGGTAAAAATAAGGAACTCGTAATATAAAATCTTGGTTGAGCTAAACACAATTCTTGCTGAGATCCGTGCATTTTCCCAGCAATAATATAAAAGTGGTTTCTCAATTTTTAAATAATCTCCCAGTCTAATCTACAGTTAAATAATAATTTCTTAGTGGTGTTTTCTTCGTATACTAAGCACTTGACTCTACTTAGCTCCCAAAGCCAAGCAAGTTCAATCAGCTGCTACCATTTCTTCAGGCAGTTGCATATTCCTACTAAGCTTCATTATTCATTGCTCAACCCACTGGTCTATTTGTCTCAAACTATATTAATTTGTTGAAAATTTAAAGACAGATGTTTTTCTAAAGCAAACACCATGTCCAACAATATGTCATTTAGGATCAGTTAGAACAGGGGTCCCCAACCCTCGGGCTGCAGCTCACTACTGGTCCGTGAGCTGTTCAGAATTGGGCCACCTGAAATGGGGCAAGCAAGCATGTGTATCCCTACTTGTATGAACAGTGGGCGACGCATGCGCACACGCTTGCTCACAGCTCATGCGGAACCGTCTCCCCCCCGCCACCGGTCTGCAAAGCTGGAAAGGTTGGGGAAACTCTGAATTAGACTTCACCTGCAGATGTGAAATGGGAAACTGTGCTTCATATAAAACAGGGTGCCCTCCAACTATGTTGTACTTCAGTTCCCAGAATCCCTAGCCAAGATGGGAAAGGTTGATACAGAGTCTCTGTTTTTATCACATGTATCACTTACACGTGCATGTACTAAAACAGCTGTACCTTCCTTGGGATTTAACTTCAATAATCCAATAGAAGAAAATGAGCACTGGGAAACAGTCTTTCCCAAACTGCTGCCCTCTAGATGTGTTTGACTGCAAGTCCCATCTTCCACACCAAGATGAGCCTTCATCACTGGCATTTGGTTATAGTGTATAACCTTTTGATCTTTCGAGAAGTAACTCTGCAAATGTATTGTTCTGAGGAGGCTTCTGTGCATTAAAAATGGCAGAAGGCAGTGTTTGCATTTGTAACGATGAAGCTCTATAGAGCTTGGTGGATGAGTCATTTTACCACTGGTAGGAAAATGCTTCACTCTACCTCCTAGCTTTGGGTTTAGGTCAGACTTTACCCCACTGCCCACAGAGGTCTGGCTACAGCGGCATCATAATGATATATTTTAATTTTCCTAGTTCTAAGCATAACAGAAGGATAAATGCATGCTTTACATCTCCCTCCATAGCAGCCATTTTTTCTCTCTTTGGAATTCAAAGAGCAAGCAACATATATTAGAAACATGAAATGGGACCAAGGTGTCAATTGGCTGCTGTTTTTTTCCCATTCTCTTATTTATTGCCCAGCTGGGAAAGTGACCTGGTTGACTCACTTTTTATTGGTATTTTGTGGCTGGCAGATAAGAATATACGAACTATCCTAGCAAATATGAACATTTATCTATGCAACGAGCTGTTTTGCAACAAAAATGAAGCCAAATTGGTTTTTTTTAACCTTTAGTTTATAGCAGTGGTGGCGAACCTATGGCACGAGTGCCAGAGGCGGCACTCGGAGCCCTCTCTGTGGGCACGCATGCACGCACGCCATCGCCCCAGCCCCGCCTCCCCCCACAGCCCCCTTCTCACCAGCAGCCCCCCCCAGAGGAGAGTCACCCCCGGGTGTGGCCCGCGCAGAGAAGCACATGGCAGCTGGGTAGCAGATGCTGCTGCAAGGACATGGATGGAGGGCATGGCCACCATGGCACTGCAGGGCCGCCTGGGTGATTGGGGATTGGTGGGCTGTGGATGGCCCTGAGGGTGGGCGGGCGCGGGCGGGCAGAGCAGGGGAGGGCAGATTGGGGACAGGCCGGTTTTTGGGCACTCGGTCTCTAAAAGGTTCGCCATCACTGGTTTATAGTATTGAGGTGCTCACCTAGCCGCCCAGCATCCTGTAGCTGAATTTTCAACATTTCCATCGGGGATGTGACCACCACCTGGCATGTCCCAGCTCCGCAGCCAGCCAGCATTTCCCTGGCCAAGGACAATTCTTTTCTGTTGAGAGTAGCACAAATGTACAGGGCCAGTTCAAAAGTGCAGATGGAAATGATGCTCAGACTGGAGCAAGATTATAAGCAGAGAACAAACGCTCTTTTCCCCATACCCATCCACGGAGAGCAACTGTCGGAAGAAATCATTGGCTGCCAACTTGATCGCCTTTTCAGGAGTGACAAGAGTGAGGTTTACAGCAGCCCCTTGGAAAGAACAGAAGAGGCAATAAGGAGCCTTGATGATGAGTTTGCTGGCTCATCCCTACTCCAACAGGAAATGCTGATCACTCTCTTGCACACAAAGATCCACAAAAGCAATAATGTTTAAATAATACAAGTTTCAATCATTCCTGGATCTATATACACCCGTCTTTCTATATTCCAATCTTAAATAAACATTCCACCAAAACAGTAATAAACCAAATGCAACACTAAATATCACCTATTCAAAAACATTAAGTCTCTGAATCCAACTCAACTCCTGGTGTTTTCCATGTAGTTTTCTTCCCAACAATACAAAAATACCATTGTTGTCTTGCCTTTCTGAGTTTCCGGTGCAGCCTACACTCCTAGGATTTCCTGGTAGTCTCTCCTCCAAATACTAACTAAATCTAACCCTTAGGTCAGGGGTCTTCAAACTCTGAAGAGGAATTCTGGGAGTTGAAGTCCACAAGCCATAAAAGGGCCAAGTTTTAAGACCCCTGCCTTAGGTTTTGAGATCACTCAAACTTAGTAAGTGTTATCTTCTCAGGGCTTCAGAAATAAAAATATTGTAAAAAAAAAACCCACAAAAATACCAATTATATAATTTTTAAAAAAGTCCTACAGCATGTCCAATTTTTTTTCAAATTCAGTCACGAAGAATGTGTACCAGAAAAAAATTCCATTCTTTAAATATGTTAAATATGTGCTTTTATGTGGATTAGCTATATTGAGTGGCTAAGTAGGGGTGAGAGCAGAAGAGAGCTCGAGCATTCCTGTTTGATGCTTGTGAGCTTTTTGAATGCAGCTGGTTTGGTACTGTGAGATATAAGATGCTGCTAAACATGCTTCTCAGGACCAAACACCTCCCTTACCTTTCTGAAAATGTTGCCCAAGTTGATTTTTAGAGATCAAAGGAAACCTTCTCATCACTCAGATCTTACACCTCACAATTATTCCCTTATTTGCTGCCCCAAAGGTACTCTGAAACAGTGAAGTCTAAAGAGGACTGTATCAGATGATGGTCCACATGCTCTAAAGACTAATGCAGGGATCCCCAACCCCCGGTCCTTGGACCACTACCGGGCTGTGAAATGCCAGCAACCAGTCCGCACAAACAAGCAAAGCCCCCTCCGTGGGATTCAGGCAGCACACAAAACCACGCCCCCTCCGGTCCATGGAAAAACCTTTCTCCACGGAACCGGTCCCTCGTGCCCAAAAGGTTGGGGACCTCTGAATTAATGCATTCAAAATTTTTATGAAAGTGATGAAGAGATTTAAAAAAGAAAGACTGTGAATGGCATACTGCCAGTTTTCAGAATATAATCTCACAACTGATAGATGGTGGCCGGAGATCCTAATGCCAGAATAAGCCAGAAACTTCGAAGGAGATATTGTTTGGGAAACTAACTCTTGAACTGTACAGCATTTGCCTCAGAGTAAACACTAATAGAACAATGTAGCATATATGTTTATAGTATACAATATTAAAAAATATATCTGTGGCTATCTTGAAACTATCTTTAGCTACTATACTGGAGTTGACATCCTGAAAGCTTCCAAATGTTCTTGAATTAAAGTTTGCAAAAATTCACCAGATGAGCTGGAATTGATAGGGATTTTTTTTAAAAAAACATTCTATATGTTATTTTTAAATTCCTCTGTGCAATGTTAGTCTTTCATTTCTAATTTTTAACCTTCATATGCATTTTTTCAAATCATGTTTTACTTTAAATTGAGACATTGCAAACAACAAATGATTAAAATTTCAGAGCAAAATAAGACCCTTCCATTTCTGTAGGAATTACCTCTATAAATGCCAAAGAACCCTTCTGAGCGTATTGTCTTCACCAAACAATCCTGCCTAGAATATGAGAGAGAGAAACAATTATAAAAACTATTTCAAAGTTGGGGGGTCCATATTTGTAATTATTTCTTGCACAGGCCTTGCTCCCTGTTCTTCCACGATGTTTCTCCTTAGGGCACAAAGACAGTTGAAAAGCTCAATTATATTCAGCTTTTAGTAAATATGCAGCAGGATTCTTTGTCATTATTGATTTTATTTCTGAATGATGGTAACACTATATCATTGACACTCAGTTAATTGCGCTTGCTAGCAACTGTGGGAAATGTAATTTTCCCCATCAATTGTAGCATCTTTCCCGACCTTGTGCTTTTCAGAATTGCTTGGTCTGCAACATACATGTTAGAAATTTTGAGAGTTGCTGCTTTATAAGATAATATATTAAAAAACATTATGGGTAAAAGAAAGACAACAGAATTTTGAGCCATATTCAATAGTGCTGGGAGATGCATCGATAGAATATATATCAATTCCTTTCAGCTCAAAGCTTAATATTCTGTACCATCACTCACGCACATGCCTGTGTAGACAGCTCGTCCTTGCTGATTCTGGAGACGGGTTTTGGCCAAATCAATGGGGAACACACAAGTTACTCCCACAAGGCCAGCTATACCTCCATTAATTAATTTTGCTGGAAGGCTGGAAAGAAAAAGGAGATGGTTACCAACATTTGTTGGGGGAAAAAAAGAATGAGAATTCTATTTCAAATCCCAGGCTTCTTCTGTGGTATCCTTGGAGGTATACTTTACAGCAGGCATGTCAAACTCACGACGTCACATGACGTCGCACAACGTATCGGGCTGGTTTTGCCATTGCCGGCAATGGGGTGGACGCGGCTTCCACGTGACGCGTCCGGCCTGCGGGCTGGCAGTTTGACACCCCTGCTTTACAGGTTTGATGGTGGTATAGTAAAATCAGATCTTGCAACCTAAATAATAGTGTGATTGGGAGAATGTTGGACAAAGCAATTTCAATTATTGTAGTTATTATTAATTATTGTAGTTATTATTAATTTCACAGTAGATTGTGAACCCTCTGCCCTCCTCCAGTTAAATTTTGTTCTTATGTTCAACAACTTATTTTTCTCAATGATGACAAGCATCACATGAACAGAATCACTGATCTTTGAAAACCAAGCACAAAAAGGCACTACTGACCTGAACTTCTTGTTTGTCATTTTCCTTGGGGTGGTGGCTGTTGCTATTACTGACCCAGGAAATCCTTTGACATCAAGGAACACGTTCTTTGTTGTCTTTATTTAGCCGGAGACAGAAAACAATTACTCTTTCTTCATTGGATAACAAATCACACAGATCAAAAATAAAATGGATGTTCATAATTCAATCAAGTCCAGGGGATTTTTAGGGAAGTTTGTTGAATAACTTTGGTTCTTTTCTCCCTTTCTTTCCCCTAATAAGCCAGTTTATACTAGATACTTTCCCTGTTTCCTAATGACCTTCCTTCACGCTTACATCTGAATACACCTGAGGTCTATGGAGCTGAAAAATAAGTGCTCAGTAACATTAGAACAAAATCAATTGTAGGATCTTCAATGAGTTTACTCAAGGTAAAGTCAACTGAGCTTCTACTCTGCAAGAGGGATGCGAACACCAAAAATTTCAAGGAGTTACAAATTTACTAACATCTGGCTCCACACCATGAACAGAAAAGAAAAATCCGATCCGGAGAATACACCCCACACTCTGCAAATATTGAAAAAGAACATCACAGGGAACCTCAGGCCACTGTAGAACTTCTTCGTGAAGGAAGGGATGGTGAAGGAGATAAACATCCATCTTGAAAAAGGGGAGAAGGTTTGTAAATATTACTCAAGCTTGGCTTTTACCTACCATGGTAGTAATGTGAAAGTAAGAACTAGAACAGCTAAAATATTTGTAGTTTGTGATTTAAAAAAAAGACTAAATCATTTTAAATTATCTGGATCTATCCTTTTCCACATTTCTAAAGTAACTGGAATTAATAACCTGGAGCACACCCCACTCTAACCCATGCTAGGTTTTGGCTAATATTTGTAAATTATGATTTAAACTATGGTCTATTCACCAAAGTTGACTGAAATACCAACTCTTGTGTAATCAAGATTTAAGTATTTGTTAAAATAATTAGGCTAAATAATTTTGTGTAGGCAATATGTTTTTGTGCTTCTCCTTTTTTTACTAATGCAAAGGTAGAAATTGTGGTTTATTAGATAAATTATAAACAGCTGTATTTACATTCAGTAAAAAAACATGATTTGTAAGCTATGATTGAGTTCTATAAATCATATTAAGCTAGAATCAAGCACCCTACCATAAATGGGTGGAAAAATCTATGCAATTTGTGTTGCATTCTTTGAAACCAACCAGTGTGCTAAATGTAGAGTTGAATAAGTCTTTTTGTTTCAGCCAGGAAATAGCATCAAGAGAAAATGATGGTATTTTTCTGCTTTCAACTGGATATAGTACAGCTAAAACAAATAAACTCACCCTGGGTATATTTATAAACTTTACTATGTTGTTCAGTCATTATAATTTTTTCCAGCAGCCATGCAAAGTGCATAGTATAACATACACAATGAATCATATAGCAGAAAAGATGTCACCAATAGTTTTACGATTAGTCATAATTCTTATGTAAGCATTTTATATAAGCTTTGAAACTGCAATACTAGCACTGAAAAAGTGACTTTGCATGATGCATTATTGAAGTTTTAAACTTTCAGAGCAGTCTATTCTCTATGTAACGGTGCAAAAAAAATACATAGCCAGGCCTCATATACGTACATTAGTTGTGGCAAAACAATCTTTACATATTTTGAGTGGTAATGTCAAAGCTACAAAAAGTACTAAAATATTACTCAATTAAAAACATCAAAAGTTCATCTGGAATATAAACTTTAAAAGATAGAAATATCATAAACCATTCCTGAGAAATTGACCCTGATTTCTCAAATCCACATCCCTTTTTCCTCTACTGTAAAAAAAACTTATTCAAACATCAAAAATCATAAATAAAGTATCTGCTGCACTAATCAGATATAAAAGCATCCTAACTTTCTGGAAGCTGTAATTATTAGCTGCTGGTCACTTATTCACATGCATTTCCTCATTTATAGAATACTTCAAAATAAAACAGTTTCAGCATTTGTTTGGTGGAATAATTACAATTGTTAGTGCAAATGTGTCCATACAGTGCTTTATAGAGCACAAATGCAGGTTTTAATTATACACATAATACACATCAGACACAAATGTTTAGAAACTGCACAAGGCTTTGAAAATAATTATTCTTGTAAGAGTGTTAGAAATAAATGGCTATAAACTACCTCCTTCTAATTCATATCTAATTTCCCTGAATAAATTGACTCTCCCTTTCCACATATACTAATTAGCAATCTCATCAGTTTGAGTAGATCATTCTCCTCCAAATTCACTTGCACAAAGAATGCCATGAATTTGTAGATTGCTTTTGAAATGATAAATGCTGAAATACTTTATGAATGAAATGTGTAGAAGTCAGAAAAGTTGGTAAACTTACCTTCCTTATTTTCAAGCAGTTGGGTTCCTCCCTTCCTCCTCTCTCATTTTTAAGCATCTGACTCACATCTGGAATCCTTAAAAAACAACCTCTTTTGCCTGTTTTAAGGGACTGTCCACAAATTCCCAATAATATTATCAGAATGTACATAGGATTTTTTTTTTCTTTCTGGTTGTTCATCTTGTCTTTTTTAGGTCCTGCAAAACTAACAAATTCCAGCTCAAGCGTTTTCCATTGGATGAGGACAATTTTAAACAAACGCTATGCATTCCAGTTATTTAGTCAAGCTCTAATTTCTCAAGCAAGGTTGTATCGATTGATAACAGTATATTCCCATTAATGTGGTATCATGTGATGGGCTGCACATCCCCATATCAATTACACATCAGTGGAAAATTAGTGGGTAAGTACAGCCAAGAAACATCTATGGCCAATAAGACTTTTACATAAGATTCATTAAGCCCATTTCTGGACGAGGAGGTTCCTTACATGGTGACTCATGCCACATCCTGTGTGTGGGCAAGTGCAATGGGCCTAACCTTGAAGACAACACTCAGAAATAGCTAGTCCACAATGTGGAATCCCACTGCAAGTTGTACTAGTTACCAGTAGGCTTCCAGACACAAATCAAGTTGTGCTAGTTGTCACCTATGAGGTATACAGTTTAACTATTTGAGGGACAGTCTCTCTCTCTCTCTCTCTCTCTCTCTCTCTCTCTCTCTCTCTCTCTCTCTCTCTCTCGTTTCTACTCATTCAGTAAGATCAGACAAAATTTTGCAATGCCATCTGATGGGAACAAGATGTGCCTTTGCTGTCATAGTCCTTACCCTTTAGTGACTTTAAGGCATACTTAAATGAATAGTCCTTAGTCATTTAGTTATGCCTTTAGAAACCAAGCTTTTTCTCCAGGCTCTGAGCTAGAGTGGGATGTTACAGTTTTTTAGTGGCTGTTTACTCCCCAAGAATTACTTTCTTTTTCTGCTGTTTGATATACTTGTTTTTATTTGACATATCATCGAAAGCCAAGGGGTTGAGCAGCCTTAGAAATATGAAAAAGATGAAAAATAAACTTGTAATATACAATCACTGTCTTCATCTCCTGGTGGGCTTAGAAAGTCAGTGCTTCCAAACCTGGCTCTCCATCAGCAAAGAGAATAACAATGCATTACAACTTTAGCAGCATTTAAGAAATATAACAGTATTTAAAGGCAGAGAAGATACCAGCCACTGCATCAGCCAGTCTGCATAGAATACAGGTTTTAATTATATGGTACATTTGGACATGATGTATCCAAAGTGTTTTGTGCTATGAGTATCCTAACCTGCCTCTCCCCCATCAAACGGGATCTGTTCTCAAAATCAAGTCATACAGTCTTCCAAAAGGCTAAATACATTCTTTTTATTGTTTACTACACCTTGTTGTTACATAACTGAAACATTTCATTTTAAAGTGTTTTGGGATTAGCTAACATAGTTTTAATTGTGTAAATTTATTTAAAGTATTTGTTGCCGCTTTTTAATTTAAAAAAGCATTGAAATGGGATGTTGTAAGTATAAGGTTATCCAAGGGCACGTTTTAGCCACTTCCTCCTCAGCTTGCAAAGTTTCAAGGCCAAAGTAGATTAACCACTAAAGCAGTTTTGAAACTGATACACAATCTTACTACTTTCAAATACATTTCAATTCACTTTTAGAAATTTCTCAAGTAATTTTGTCTTTCTTGAATAGATTACGTTGCTCAAAGGCCATTGTGTAAAGCAGAGGTCCCCATCCTATGGGCTGCAGCCCACTACCGGGCCATGGCCTCTTGGCCACTGGACCACGTGAGAGGCTGGACAGCGCGTGCACGCGTGTGCATGCACTCATCCTCCCCTTTGCGCCAGCGCTAGCCAAGCTGCGAGCCTTGCACCAGCACTAGCAGCCCCATTTGCGGAGTGCGCATGTACGCGGCCACTTTCGTGTGCATGTGCGAAAGCGGCCGCGTACATGCGCACTCCGCAAATGGGGCTGCTAGTGCTGGTGCAAGGCTCGCAGCTTGCCTTGTATTAGCATGCCTGCCCCTCCCTTTCCCAATGGGCCGCCAATCCAGAAAGGTTGGGGACCCCTGGTGAAAAGGAATAGTTATGACTTTAATCAATAATGTTTAAATGAGGTAAGATGGATTCTGGTATGTTGCTTTCTTTAGATATTTGTATTTGAAAATTATTTGCCTTCTGGTAAATACAGAAATCAATTTTCTAAAAAAAAATCCATGTCAACTTAATTTTGTATTAAGTTTTGCTATATCCATAAAGGTTGCAAAATGTTGTTTATCAATTTACTGCCATTAAAATATCTTCAAAAATGACTTTGGAAGAAAAAGAAGCAAATGGATATCTTGACAAAATGTTTTAAATGCAAAATCTAGTAATCTACATAGAATAAATAGCATACAAATAGTCTACTTTTATTTACTGGGGCAACTGAAAGCATGCCCATCTAAACAGACTTCATTTAGTTATACACAGATGTAACTAAGGTTTTTCCTTCTGTATTTTAGTGTATGTATTGTAGATGTTATTTTTAAAAAAAATAAAATGAGGGTGAGGAAAGAAAAAAACTTTTTGAAATTAAGTCATAACAATTATTTACAAATTTAGAATTTTAAAATCAACGAACTGAAGGTTGTCAGTGTAAATGTGACCCTCATCTGACAATTGAGACATAATCTCCAGC